TGTAATTTATGTAATTATAAAATATCTCAGAGATCTGAGAGATTTAAAAAAGTATTTTTTCTATATTTTCTTAATGAAAGAGAAATAAATCTTACATTAAGTAATCTTACATTAAGTAAGATTGATAGTTGAATGAAATCATATCAATTTATCATTTTCAATAATAAATTAAATAATTATGCTTTTTAAATGAATCATAATTATCTTCTTCACTATTTTTATTAATAAAGAATCATTTTCATGTAAAAGATCTGTAATAATATTATTATCAAAGTTCTGAAGAATTCGTGAATAAAGTAGTTTACAATACACTTGGAGGAATATGTGAATGCAATTGTTCATTATACGCTCGGAATATTCTATAATTCTGGTTGAAACATTTGTCGATTTATTTGTGAATATCTCGGAGTCGAATTGTCGAATTTTCAACGTTGATTTTACCAAATCGTGAGCAGTTCGTGCGAGGCGCAGCCCAGAAATCGTGGGAAAAATGGTCGTTCGGGGATTTGGACTGGCGCGCACGACGAGACAATTGCGGCACAGTTTATTATGCGGCACGCGAGATCGGATTAAGATCGCGTTCAGTATTCAACGCGAACGCGTGCATAGATCGATCGTTCGATCGCTGATAATAACGCAACGCGACATGGCTGGATAGAGAGCACTAAAACGGCCGCTAAAAACGACTGTACGGTATATCTACAGTCTGCGCTATCGATCTGCACTGCTTTCGGCCTGACTTTTTGCAGATAACGTATTGAAATATTGGAGTTTTACGCGAGTCTCCGATATACGTACTCGTGCGAATACGATGTACATCCGCGCGAGACAAACGCGATATTTTTTTTTTTTTTTCTATTAAATTCGATTCGATGTGTATTTTTATCACGCGCAATGATAAATTTTCTCGCCGTGAATGATTGACCATCGACACTTTAATGGCGGTCGTTATGTTTCCTGCTACGAGAAAGATGCATAATGTATCGAAAGCAAGCATTAGCGTTGCATTATATAGCGTATAAGATGACTCGGTATCGCGGAATATTTTAAGGACTGAATACGTGAAGCTGAAGAGCATCTTTTTCCGGAATAGAATTTTTATGAAAAATAGAATTATGGAAATATGTGGCTCTATTACCTGTGCAATTCTAGAAAATATCTAGAAAAATATTTACCTGTTAGGAATTAATATTTAATATTAATGCTCTACTGCTGAGGTGGCTCGGAACAGTACGACAACTAGAGTCGTTCGTCGAGCAATCTCTTCATCGAGGGGCTCTTTTCTCGGTGGAGTCAAGAAAAGCGGCATTAGCATATTAAAGTGTGCCGCACAGTACGGGAGCGTTGCTGGCCAGAAGGTTAATTGCGACTTAATAGGCGGCCCGCTTTTCAGCATTACAACCGTTATTCAACGTTACCGCGCGCGAATTCCTTAATGCGGAATGCGAGATGCCGCGCGATGATTTATTTCTACGGACGACTCACGCTTACAAGTGCATAAATAACATCGATGCGCGCATCGCAAAACGAAGAGTTTTCTCCTCTCTCACCGTTTTCATCACGTTGATGTATAAGTATAAACCCCAGTATAAACTCACGTGTTGTTTGTATAATTGAAGTAAGAGGGGGGGGGAATAAAAATCTTGGGAAAATATGGAGCATCAGAAAGTAGCATTGCTGGAATTATAATACGATGGAATTGTCTAGTTTCGATCTGCGCTCGTGAAAATAGCACAAATAGCGAGTTGTTCGAAAAGATGTATAGCGACGGTAACAAATATTCCGAAAGCAATTTGCATTTTTTTCCTTCCTGAAGAAAATTTAATCCACGGTTTATTGTAGATTGCTGAGAGCTCACTCTCTTTCTCTCTCTCTCTC